TTTCAGGAAAGGGCCAGTTCACAAAAGCAGGGTAAGGAGTTTAGATGTAGTTCATATCAGTTATTACTTGTCTGCTTAAAATCCCCAAGTAGCTATCTAACACATGTAGAAATAAAATCCCAACCTCTTACCCTGTGTTTTAGGCCAAGTTATTTAGAGAAACAAATCCAGTGACATCTATGCATAAGAAAGAACTTTAAATCAAGAAGAAATTAGATATCAAGAAGCCTTTCCAACCCAGTCAAACTCAAGTCCGTAAGTCTGATATTAGTCCATAAATGCCACTTTGGACTCCTGTAACCACATGCTGGTGATGCAGAGTGATGAACCAGGTGGCAGGAAGATCACAGGCCAGTGGTGCAGAATTGCGTACATCCAATGTTGGTAGAAACATGGCAGGGTAGTAGTATCTCTCAGTGTCGGCAACAGTGTCCCAGCAAGTAGGAAAGCAAAGTGACAGAGAGAGAGAGAGAGAGGGAGGTTCCCAGGTTCTCCACTTAAAAAAGACCACAGCCCCAAAGAAGGATTATCAGGCTGTGACTTGATTGACACGCTGGATTCCACCCTGACACTTTCTTTCATCTTAAAGCTGACATAAAATCATTTAACTACCACACCCTGGTTTACAAGACCTTCCATAAGTGGACCCCTGGCTGTTTGCCCAACCTTATCTCATGGCACTACCTCTCTACTGTGCCCTTTTCTACTGCCACCAAAGTATCTTCTGGCTGTTACTCCAAGGCATGGCATGGGCTCCGGGATGTGGGCTCCTGCACATGAGCAGGCTCCTGCGACAGTGGGTTTGCAATGGTCTGCCCTCCCCATCACTTTTCCCTCAGGTCGTGTGTAAAATATCACCATTCCAGAGAGGCTAGCTCCTATTGTGGATCTCAAAGAGCAGCCTACCTCCTCTGCCTTGTTTTCCTGTTTTATTGTATTCTTATGGTATTTGGCAAGGCCTGACACTGTACTCTATATTTAGTTGTTAATGGGTTACCGTCCATGAAGGAAGGAACTCTTGTCTCTTGAGTTACTACTCACATTAGAAATGTTCAGATGCTTGCTGAATGTACTAAATGACTACGTTTACTAAATTTACTACATTTACTAAATGAGGAAATGACCTCCTATATGTAACTCAACTCCATATTTCAATCATATCCTGGCAGGCTCAGTCATAATTTGATTAGAGACCACAGTATCCAAACATAAGGGAACTCCTGCTTGTTTGTAAAACCTACTCAGTAACTGTTAGGAATCCTGGTGGTGTAGTGGGTAAAGCACTTGGCTGCTACCCCAAAGGTTGGTAGCCTCTCCAAGGTAGAAAGATGAAGCATTCTGCTTCTTTAATGTCTTACAGCTTTGAAAACGCTGAGATAGTTCCACTCTGTCCTACAGGGTCACCATGAGCCGGAACTGACTCAATGGCCCTGGGCTTTCAGAGGTGTTAGCAACTGTGGTGTGGAATCTTTTGTTTTTTCTTTTTTTGGCGGTTCATGGTTGATAGTAATTGACTTCTTGTTAGTTTTCAGACATTTAAAATATGAAGTCACCCTTTCTCTCATAAAGGCACAAAGCCAGTTGACTTTTTTTTTTGGTAATTAGTAGACATTTTAGCATTTGCTAGCTGGAAATAGATGCAGTGTGGGTTTTATAATGCTGTCATATGAGTCCTAACAATGACTTACATGTGTTTTGGAGACTTTTAGCACTACAAAAAGGTATTATTTATGTTTCGGATGAAGAGAGAGTCTCCTTTAGTGGCCCTGTCATCTCTCCATGCTCCACGGTGGCAGTCTGAGAGAGCAATGCTGGCCTCGAGCAATGTGGAACTACTTGACAAAGGTGTTTAGTCTTCTTCTATCCAGTACCAGATGGACTATTTGACCTCTCATCACAGTCTTAGAGAAAGTAATGATTGTGAGCTATCATACTCTGATGAATTTGCAGTAATTTCTCAGTTTTATGCTAGAAAATAGATGACAGATACAAGCTTTCTAGGAACACTGGCTGTATTGGAAATATTTCTTTTTGCTAGTTGCTAAGAAGAGATTTTAAAGCTTAGAATTCTAGTTTTATTAACTGCACCACTCATCCCACCATTATTTTTTTAAGTGTAATAAACTCTTACCATGTTACTATATTTAAATGTGTTCTTAACTTCATTTTTCAAGCTTTCCTTGTTCTTGTACTTCTGGAATTTATAGTCTTTGGCAGATGATTTAAACAGTGATCATTTTAACCACAGACAAAAACCAAACTCACTGCCACCAAGTCAATTCTAACCCACAGCGACCCTATAGAATGGAGGAGAACAGTCCCTGTGAGTTTCCAAGACTGTAACCCTTTACGGAAGGGGAAAGCCTTAACTTTCGGCCACAGAGCAACTGGTGGTTTTCAAAATGCATCACCAGGGCTCCTTGACCACAGACATGGGGCTTTCAAAAAGCTTAGCAGGAATGGAATGAAAAGATAATGGAATGTTTCCATGAACTTGTTGAAACTTCCTCATATTTACTTTACACGCCAAAGGTGGGTAAACATTTATTGTACATGGCAGATAGTAAATTTCTTTGGCTTTGTGGGCCCTATGCTTTCTGTCACAACTTCCTAGCTCTGCCTTTGTAGCACAGACAATATCTAAATGAGTGAACATGGCAGTGTTCCAATATGACTTTTCTTTTCCCCAAAGCAAGCAGCAAACTTAATTTGGTGATTTGCCAACCTCTGTTATATATAACTATACCTCAAGTTTTTTAAGGGAAAAGATTGTCTGTTTCTTGAGGATGACCGCTATCAGAGGAGGGAATGTGGCAGATGCAGCCCATAGATTCTAGTTAAATCGATATACTGTACATAAAATGCAAAGTATGTAATAGTTGATCAAATGGGAAGTTACAAATTTTGAATGGGAAATAGCAGTTGTGTATCCCAGTGCCTCCCATATAAAAACATCCACAGGACAAATACTACTTTGCCTTTAGAGAACCATGGAAATATCTTGCTCATCCTGATAAATTAGTTTGTGTGTCTCGGCTATAACTCATCACATTTTCCTCTTATCCCTGACTCTGAGAAATAAGGGCTATGTTTTGGACTCTTTGAAGGCGTCCCTGGGTGTGGGTGGCCAAAATTGTTGAAAACATAGCTGCTAACTGAAAGGTTAGGAGTTTGAACCTGCCCAGAAATAGCCTGGAAGATAGGCCTGGTGATCTGCTTCTGAAAGCCACATCCTTGCAAACTCCATGGAGCGGTTCTCCTGGAACACATGAGGCCACCGGGCAAACAGCTCTAACAGCAATTCACTTCAGCCTCATCATGACCCTAAATGAGAGAGTAGAACTGGCCCATAGAACTTCCTAAAATACCATCTTTGCTGTGCTGATCTCGCAGTCTTTTCTCCATTGGAGCAGCTAGTGAGTTCAGACCACTAACATCCGAGCTCTTAACCATTGTGTTAATGAGGCTCTAGAATGACAACACGGTAGCCATGCTTTTCTAGTACCATTCTCTGCCATGCCTGCTTGACTTAATTTTCTTTTGAAATACAGTATTACGTGTATATGACTGTTATATGAAACAGCAAATTGAGAAGGGCTTCCTCATGGAGTTATTTGAGCATCGTGTTGAATATGAAAGATATGTACTGGATTAGAGGAAAAGAATAAAAGCCATTTGGAATCCGAATGAAATAAGCAAAGGCATGAAGCTAGAGTTTACTGAAATCTTGGGCTAAGTTATATGATATTGAGAAACAACAACAGCAAATGTCTTGAATTAAAGCAGGGGTGTCAAAGTTGGCAGTCTGCGGGCCGCATGTGGCCCCCGAGGTAATTTTTTGTGGCCCGTGATGCTTTGAAATAAAATGAAAATAGAAAAATTGTTATCAAGAAAATAGCACTTAGGGGAGATTGAGGCAATACCGTGCACACAATTCCCTCGTTACATTTTGTTTCAGAGCATCATGGGCCACAAAAAATTTACCTCGGGGGCTGCATGTGGCCCACGGGCCACCAGTTTGACACGCCTGAATTAAAGGTTAACTAATTTCATCAATAGAAAGTAATTTGACTTCCCTGATTCCTCAAAAGTACAACTCAGGGCTTCAGTTAATATTGGGGTCAATAAGCTCAGAGAAAGATTATGTATTTGAATCGTTTAAATGTGTCTAGTTCCACTTGCCAAAATCATGATGATTTTATTTATCACTATTTTGGCAAGTGTTAATCAATAAGCTTTGTGTCATTTCATGCTGTATTTAGAGATAAGTGTATCTTTTGACTGTGAGTAATTAACAGTGTAAAGATAAAGGGTGACAATCACTATATCGTCATATAAATGATTATATATTACACTAAGTATTGCAGCAAGTACTAAAGTAGCAATTGACTAATAATTAATAGGATACTTATTACTATATTTGAAACAGTTTGAACAAAAGTTTAGCATTTTAAAGTTTAATATTTAAAGCTAATATTTTAAAGGTCGTCCTCAGATTATGAATAAGCTCTGTTCCTAAGTTGTCTTTAAGTCACATCAGAACAGTTAGATATGATTCACATCTAATGTCAGTCATCCAGATGTTTCTTAGTATATGAGTATAGTTTAGGAGTGTACCTTTCTATGCATGAAAAATTAAACATTTCCAGGTAAATTAAATGTCATTAACATAATGCCATAATGGCAGTGTTTTGGTGTGGTCCTAAAGTAGCACATCTTTGTTATTTTGAACCATTGTATGTACGTCAAACTTTTAGTACAGACTTTACAAAGTTGGTTTGTAGCTATGGTTCACGGCAAACCAGTTGTACCTAAGCCTGATGTTTATAATCAGGAGACAGTCTATATACCTTCTAGAATAAACAGGGGCTTTTAAATTTGTGCATTTTGTGTGTGTGTAGTTAAAAAGTCATTTTCATAAATACGTATGTTTATATGTTTTTATAATTTAATTTTCTATAAATAACAGTTTCCTAATTTTGCTTTTAATTTTCTTTCAGTTGTTTTGCAGGTTTGCAGCCTGGTCCTCTACCCCATCAAGTTCATTGAAACTGTGAGCTTGAAAATTTACCATGAGTTCAATTGGGGTTATGGCCTAGCCTGGGGTTCAACTATATTTTCGTTTGGGGGTGCCATCCTTTATTGTCTCAACCCTAAGAACTACGAAGACTACTACTAGAACCAACAGTGTCGAATTGAAAACAAACAAACAAAAACCCAACCATCCAGCCATCTAACAAAAGGATTACGTCTGCGTCTTTTCTAACTCAGTATTTTCTAAAACACTTGTGGAGCTTCAAGCAGTTTGCTCAGTTTGATTTACTATCTTTTGCCTTCGGCTGTCAACATCATAACCAGCTTTTACATCCATTTTAGGAACCTGCGCAAATTAAGAGAGCTGATTAGACATAGGCAAGTGCTGAAAATTTCCAATATGTTCATGTCATTTTTCTTGACAAGTAAAGGGTCTATATGACAGCAACCATTGTGAGAAGCTAGTTGGAATGAGAAATGCCTGAATATCCTATTGCCTGCAGGGGAGCAGCTGGCATAAGCAACATTTACAAGTTTCTTGTGCTGACAAGGATTCCACTGTTAGTCTTCATTGCCTACTTATCCTACCCAGTGACTATTTAGATCTTTGGTTATTTGCCTGAGTGAGCTCCTGGAATGTCAACTGCCCTTCAGTCATCTAACGGGAGTTATGAACTTAGCTGTTAATGGTATATATCCCGCCTTCAAGAACACCCGTTTTACTGGGAACTGATGCTTTGGCAGTCTGCATCTCCCTGGAAAGAGAGTTAAGACTTTTCATTAGGTATGGTGAGAAATGGTACCTCAATCAAGTCTAGAACGGGGGGGAAATTGAGTGGCTCTGCTTTCCCTGGGCAACAAGAAAGAAGTATGCATGAGTTGCTTCTGTCCAAAGTACCCTTTCATTCATCTACCAAACACTGCAGCAAACACTTGTGCATATGTAATGAGCTTAACTATTTTTATAGAAGGTCAACCATTAGCAGAAATGGTACAAGTTCTTCCCTAGCCCTCTCATACTTCCCGCTCACACATAAAACTGATATTTGCTATAGTGACGTTGTTTGAACACTAACCTTGTACACGTTGTTAAGACGTTTAGATTGGTATTCACCCTTATTTACCATGCAAAGTACATAAACCTTAAAGCTTATGATCAGTGTTCTCTACTCAATAGACTGTCATAAAAAGAAAAATGGAAATGTTAGTCTGAAAATTAATGATTCTTTGGTAAGCACTGTAGTTCAAAAGAGACTAGCAATTAGAACGATCATTTTGTTTAAAATTCACTAAAATAGAAAGCTATTTTTTTCAAGTATTTTATGTCATTTAAAAAAGAGAGAGAATAGCAATAGATTTGTATAAATGTCTCAGTAGAAGTATAGAATGTGTCTGAGTATCACCTAGTCCTCTGAAGTTAACTGTTGGGCTGACTGATCTGTGCACACAATTATGATGCATTTAGATGAGGGGAATCTTGTTGACTATTCAAATGGAAGGAATTGTCAAAATAATAGGGAATACGTTTGCAACTAAGGTCACACTGCAAACTTGTGATAATTGTTTCATATTGCAAAATTTGAATAGTTTAATTATAAACCTATTTTTATATCTACTATACAGTTCTAATATAAAGGTTATAAATAGTTATTTTTCTTAACAAAGACACTAAAACAGTATGTCCTGGTTTTGGCCCTTTTGCAGAAAGAAGCACTGGAGAAATCATTTAAATGCACCTATGTGTGCTACTATATTGCAAACTCCATTAAGAGCAGGATGGCATCAACAGTCTTTAATTATTTGCTTTATCTCCCAAGGCAGAGTCTGCTTTCAGCTTGTCTTAAGAACTGTTGCCAAAAACAAAACAAAACAAAACAAAAAATTAGAACATTTTATTTTATTACTTAAATGCTTAAGAAAAACTTATCTCTTGACTTTTCTATAGAATCACAAAGTAAATACGAAATACCAGGCTTATTCTTATTTGACAGTGGTAAGTGAAAGTGATTAAATGCATCGGAGAGAGAAATCTTTGTAGAAGTGTATGATTACTATAATCATAAGAAAGTATGAGTGGAAATTTTCCAGAAAGATATTAGTATGATAGAATCTTTTTGAAGCAATTTTCTTGAGAAATCGTAAAATCTGGGGCAGACTGTCTTGCAGTTAATTTCATATTATCAGAGCAACATGAGAAATACAATATTTGGATAGGCGTTTTGGCTACTAAACACCCTCTGTTGTGAGAGGATCACTTTCTTTCTAAGTAATGGAAGAACAGTATTTCGGTGCTGGCATCGATGGGGCACTTTTCTTAGTCCTAGGAGAGGATGCAATGTGCTGTTAGAACAATATCACATCTTGAGACTTACCAAGTGTTCATTCTCTGCCAATGTGACAAGCTGGGAAGTGACAGAATATGTGATAGATTAAGACACACATATCTACAACTTACTGAAGAGCAAATTTTTGTGTGTAACTTCCCCCCTCCCCCACTTTTCCCTACTATGTTTCTGTCTCTACTAATATCTGGAAGTATTTCATTACTAACAAGCTTAGTTCAATATAAAAATTGTTGCCTATCTGGTTTGTCTATCAGAATAAACAGAAGTGTATTCACCTACATTAATATTATATCTTTGCAGCTTTAGGGTATCTGATGTTTTCCTATAAACAAGATTGTTAACCTCGAGCCCATGGTTTATCATATATGTGTGCATAGTATTGATGTATGTCACATACATGTGTGATGTACATATATGTTACATACACATCCACACAGCATAAAGTACACAGCAGGGCTAGTCATTGGGATTTCTTGCACAACTATTTAGCTTTTTGTAAGTTCAACGTGTAAATTTTAAAGACATAAATATAGAGAGACCTATGTGTTTGAAATATAAATGAAATATATGGATTAGCATGTACCTGTATATTATTAAACATGCAATGAACTGACTGGTAAGTGATGTCTAATCATATGGCTAGCAATGTAATTTATTCAGACTGTATTTTTGTACAGAGCAGCACACACTAACCTAAGCCTTTGTGTCCTCTTTAATGCCTAAAACTGTGCCTAGAAATTTCATCTGTCTTAAATAAAATATACGTCATACTGTTTATGCTATTACTTTCACTACTGCTGTTCTATATTTATTATTTTTAAATATATGACATGTTTACTACTTAAATATGAATTCATGATATCGTGGTTATTCTTTTTTTTTTTTTAACAGTCATCTGGGGGAAACCTGGTTTACCACTCCAGTGGTTTTGAGTTTGCAGCTTCACAATCAATTCTTCATTTTATGATTTTTGTAGCTGACATGAAGTTATCTATGTGGAAAAATTAAAAATAAAAGTGGTTTCACTGAAGCATCTTGGCTTGAATTTGTATCTTCTTGACTCTATAGACCCTGTAGACAAGACTTCTAATGATATGTTTTCAGTTCATGGTCTCCTTAAAAATGTGTATGTTTTCCAAGACTCCATGGTTGATTTTTGACTTTTCAGAAGTGATTGAGCAGGCCTTTTTTCCGTGGCAACTCTAGGTGGATTTGGACCACCTAATGAGCCCTGGGGCATATTGGTTACAGTTGGGCTGCAGTCCTCGTGGTCAGATTTTAAAACAACCAGCTGCTCCTCTGGAGAAAGAAGAGGCTTTTAACTTTCTTAGAGTTACAGTCTCCGGGGGAAGGAGCACTAGAACTGATTGTGATTATACAACTCATTTTAAAGGGGATGTAATCATGAAAGTATGTGATGTGTGAATACTCTTATCAAGAAAACCACGGGGGTGGGGGGAGTTGAGAAACTAAACTTAACCAGAGGTGGAGGGGAATCGGTTGGCATGTAGGGACCATTGAGTTTATGTCAATGGTTGTAAGATAATTTGGAAAGGATACCAGTAGTGACTGTACAGGCAAAGGATATAATCAGAGATACTGAATTATGCAAGTAGAAGTTGTGAAAGTAGAAAAAATAAAATAATTACCTAGGGGCATGGCAGGGGAGGTTTGGAGGGAAATGGGACGCTAACAGCAATGAGTAAGAGAGGAAAATGTTCTGAAATTGATTGTGGTGCTGATTGCATATCTTTATATGGTTGAGTGATGAAATTGTATGATATTATATACCAATAAAACTTTTAAAATAAGTTACAGTCTCAAAACTCACAGGGGCAATTCTTCGCTGTCCTATGAGTCTCTGAGTCAGCTGCAACTGTATGGCAGTGAGTCTGGTTTTTTGGTTTAACTTTGGGTTAGTAACTGAATATTCAACTGTCGGCATGACCCAGAAATTCAGGAAGTACTGTTTGGTATGGCCTGCTTATTTTGGTTTGCTTTGAATCGATCTTTTGAGTTCTCTACAAAGACTTTTCTTATCTTCAATTGAATTTTTTAATTGATGAGTGATAGAGAGGAATAATATTAAATGTCTTCTTATGCTTTATTTTTAGAACAGTTTTAGGTGGACAGAAAGGATAGATTTCCTTTGTGCCCTCTCTCCCCTGGCCAGTTGTTCTTGATGTTAGTATCTGACATTCCTCTAGCATACTGGTTACAACTGTTGAACAGCACGCATAACTAAACTAATGTCTACAGTTTGCATTATGCTTCACTCTGCATTGTACACTCTGCATCGTCATAGCCCTATAAGTTGTGCCAAATGAGTAATGCCATGTGTCCACCATTAAAATATCATACGGAATAGTTTCACTGCCCTAGAAATGCTCTGCTACACTTGTTTTCCTGTTTTAAAACCCACTGGAATGAGCTGCAGCACAGACTACTATTTTCCCTACTTTCTAAATATGCAATTTCAAACAGGAGTAGCCAGAGAGTTGGGTTTTGTTATTTTGGGGTTTGTTTTATTTTCAATGTTTAGGCAAAATTTCCTGCATTTGGTCCATTTGTGTGATGCAACATTTTTCAGAGAAAGTGGGGGGGTATGTGTGTGTGAGTGTGTATATAAACACATAAGATAAGGTCAAGATTACCCATTAGAAACCCTTTAGTGTCTATAAATAATGAGCATATTTGGAAAGCAATTTAAAATATAAGACAATTCACTTGTGTGAGAGGGCTAAAAAAAGTTCATGGAAGAATTCTATTATCTTTCAAGTCCGTTTTCCCACAAATGTATTTGAAGCCCCTTTGTGACCTTGAATGTTCGCCGGGAGAATTTCTTAAAAGGTCAACATACAATCATATAGAATTGAATCGTGTAAGCTTTCTTGTGTTGATAAAGCCAATCTGCAAATATAATTTATTTTCCTCCTGGAGATATTCTCCCTTTCATTTATGACATTCTTGTTTTCATGTTTCATACCCAACAACACACCTCCATCAAACTGAGTTCTGACTTACAGTGTGATCCTAAATAGGGCTGTCAAGACTAAATCTCCACAGGAGCAGACAACCTCATCTTTCTCTGGTGTTTGAACTGCTGGCCTTGGGGTTAGCAGTTCAATGATTACCTAACTCAAGAACCTCACTGCCCTCAAGTCAATTTTGCCTCAAAACCAAGAGGGCAGGGTTTAACTGCCCCTTTGAGTCTCTGGGACTCCTTGTACCCAACTGTAAACTTTGCAACCTTAAGAGGGTCACAGTCTTACAGTCTTTTTTTTTTTCCTGCTGAAAAGAAAATATCTTAAATCACCTGTAAACCTATGAAATACAAGGGAGATTCAAACCATTCTTGGAAAAATCCCATTATCTTTATAACTCCATTCTTCCATGAACTTTTAGAAGCCCTTCTATTTAATACCAAACTAATAAGGTTCTATATATTTAACCTTAATGAGTTATAGCATTTTCAAACTCTTCTGACTGATTTTTTTTCAATGAAGACATATATTCTGACTTGATAAGGGTAGTTAGCACCCTTTATTTGGTGTATCTTCAGTTATAAGTATTTGGATGTTTATACAGAATTCTCATGAGCAAATCACTTACAAACAGGTCCTGCCTAGTAATTATTCCTGACCCAGTTTCTCTGGATTTGGAAGATAGAGCTTCTCTAGGATTTGACAAGGGAAAAACCCTTTGATTTCCATGGTTTCCCTGTGAGCGTGAAACAGGACTTCACTCTCACTGCCATCGAGTTCATTCCAATTCAGAGCAACCTTATAGGTTAAAATACAACTATCCCCCTCAGGTTTCTGAGACAGGCCTTATGGGAGCAGAAAGCCTCAATTTGCTCCTTCTGGAGCGGCTGGTAGATTTGAACTGCTGACCTTGCAGTTAGCAACCCAACATGTAACTCGCTACATCACCAGTGCTGCTTTGAAATAGAAAACAATTTCAATTTCTTGTTCCATAATGACCATATAGTTGGTTAGCAGTTTGTTTTATTGTCAGAACTCTGCTATGTCAATGTTCTATTCTGAGGGCTTTTAAGTCATTTTGGTTAGAAAATTGGTAACAAAATTATGTTGTATTTTGTACACTAATTCAGTGAACACCTGGAAGTTTGGGAGTTTTTTTTTTTGTTTTTAAATCAAACTTTCACGTATGGTATTTTATTTATCCAGAAATGAATCCGTCTATACAACTAAAAACCACGACCACAAAAAAATTTAACCGCTTCTCAAGTGTAGGAACTTGGTATTTCTGTTACTTAATTTCAATAAACTAAAATCACCCTGAAAAATGAACCCAGATACTAAAATGCTGAACTGTTATTTATTTATTGTTAATATAGAAGATAAGTTTAGAGATTGTTTAGGAAGTCCTCACTTTTTTTTTTTTTTTGACAACTAACACGTTGCCCTGGGCAAAGAGGGTCCATATATCTATACTTGGAAAATCTGTTTTCAAAGACTAGATGACTCACACATTTATATTCTACAGTAAGTCAAGTGGTTCCAAAGTGTAACTAAGAGAACAGGAGCTGAACTGTTCAAGTGGGAAGGATAATATGTGGGTTTTAAAGCCAAGATTAACAGCACACAAAGAATGGTATTCTTTGTAAAACTAAAACTGTTTTGAGTTGTTCACCAGAGAACCTCAGTTTTGGCAAAGCAATTATTTCCAAGTTGAATGACTTCATAGAAATAATGATTATAAAAGAAACTTGGAGCAAGTTCTGGAAAATCATGTCATCAAGCCACCCCAAATCTTGACTATTTCAGTCTTTGCATGTGACAAGGATTAATTAAGAAAATCAAACCTTTAAAAATAAAAAATGACATAGGCTCTTGTTGCCAGGATGAGGATGTGTCTTTGAGTAACCTGAAGGCATTTCTCAGAGCATAGATGAAGAGCTACACACGATGACTGTACTGAAGACTACCTCCATCTTCAGTAAATGTGTCATAAAGTTAAAGTAAGTATATGCTTATCAATCTATATCCATTTAAAATTTTACTAGGATTTGAGATCCTAAGAATTCAGAAATGACTTGTTTTCAGTCTGAGCAGGAAGCACTTCTCTTAAGACTAGTGTGAACAGTGAGTTAGGTTGTTAAGGGTTAACTAGAGAAAAAGCCCAACTGTCCTGGTCTCAGATACATAGTATTAATTTAAAAAACATGGATAATGTTATCATACTTGGTAACTTCTTCCAAGCAAACATTTTTTTTGGAGAGTAAGTCAGTAGTAATGTGGTAATTCCCTAAAAGGGCAAGTTTTCCATCTTTTTAATTTCAAGCAATTCTCCCTAGACAAGTTGCTATCGAGTCAATGCAGCTCATGGTGATCCCATGTGTGTCAGAGGAAAACTGCTCTGTAGAGCTTTCAATAGCCGCTGTTTTAGAAGCAGATCTCCAGGCCTGTCTTCTGAAGTGCCCCTAAGTGGACTCAAACCTCCAACCTTACAATTAGCAGCAGAGTGTGCTAACCATTTGTACCACTCCAGGGAGTCTCCTTAAATGTTATATCTTATGCTGTGTTAACTTTTTGAGATGTGTTGGTATGTCTGAAAAGAACAAAGAGTTTTCATAAAACATTTAACACTTATGATAACGAAAAGCATGTTTCTCATTCTCCAGGTTACAAATGTTGTTCACCATTGGAACAGATGTGGCATCATGTTGACATAGGAAGTTCTTTGTTAGGTGTTTTTCTGTTTTTCGGGATATGAAACCTAGAATTGACGAACCTGTGGAGACAACAATTAGAATAAGGGCTCCTGGTTGGTACAGTGGGGGAGTTTGGAGGGGTGAAGAGGAGCTGATATCAAAGAGTTTAAGGAGGAAGAAAATGTTTTGAAACTGATCGTGATAGCGTTTGTACAATACTGCTTGATGTGCTTGAACTATGGAATGGTACAATGGCTGGATTAGCTTCCAATAGAATGGTTTGGGGGAAAAGTTCTTATGAAGGCATAACATCTATGGGTGGCAGAAGCATTTTGCACTTGACTATTAACCTA